TGCTGTGACTACAAGATCAGAGCCGTATACGGTTGATGAAATTGAGTCTTTGCTCCTAGCTCAAGAGTTCAGAATTGAAAAGAACCAAAAGTTGGTGACAGCTGCTGTGGCAAATATTGCTCATACCAAACCTCCAAACAGAGGAGGTGGTCGTTTCAGGGGAGGCGGCCGTAACAATCGCGGTCGAGGATGCTCCAATGGAAGTAATAACTTCTCGTCCAATAACTCCTCGGCTGGAAAGATCATAGACTCATGTCAAATCTGTGAGAAGAGAGGCCATAGTGCCAAAGAATGCTGGTATCGTTTTGATGAGTCCTTCCAATGACTGAATCTGGATAACAAGAATTCCAAGAAAAATCACAGTGCTTATGTTGCGACAGCTGAATGTGTTGGCGATCCAGACTGGTATCTTGATTCTGGTGCAACCAGTCATGTGACCTCTGATGAGAAGAACATCATAGATAAATTAGATGATAACACACTTTCTATCTACGTGATCATCACAAAGCTTCTTTGAATTTTCCTCAACTACCATCTGCTATGCCCACAAACAGATCATTATAAACACCATGCCACACTAACCTAGCTCTATCCCTCATTAACAAACTTATATGTTCCAATATCTAACCATTCTCACAAGTTATAAATAACAACCAACACTCGAAGATGAATAGACTTTCGCGTTGCTACACAATCTTCTCCCTCTTAAGCTGAAAAAACTAACTTGCCAAGAACCCTAACCTTATCCGACACTAACAAACTCATATGTTTAAATTGCTGACCATTCCTGCACCTAAAAAAACAACGACGAACACCCCAATATGAAGAACGTATGCCTTATGTAATGCCGCACCTCACCTCCTCTAAACCCTTGACTCATGCAGAACACAAGACCACCAAAATGAAAAAAACTGACCACCACAGTGATGCTAGGAGGATAAAAAGAGTTATATGATTTCAAAAAAAAAAAACTTACCCTTTCAAAGTACCACCTTCTCATCACCTTCGAGCAGCCTCTGTTGTCGCACGTTTCTCTCTTTCTTCCTGCCTATCTTCGTCTGGTATGCAGCTTAATGTGGTGCCCACGTTTTGTATTTAGTGAGGGCAGTTTTGTCTTTTCAGTTAACATGATAATCCTAATTTGGTCTCACGTGATCAAAATGGGGTTTCTCAAATTTAAGTGATGTTTTTGACATTATGAAGTTTATTTGTTATTTTTCTGTCAATTTCCCTTTATATTTTCAAAACAAAAGTTCTCTTTAACACATCGAAGCCAATATAAATATTAAAATAAAATTTAGAATGTGCCAAAAATAATGTTTCCTACCCTCTTAATAGGTTGAGATAGATAATTAATTTATTAAACAAATTAGTTATTTATTTTCTTAGAATATATGTTTAATTATGAAAAACACTTAGATTAAATTTTTGTACTCCTTGTGTTAAATTCTCTAATTCAATTGCATATAGATATGTGTCATATTTTTGTCGTGCAAGTTTATAATTTAATGATAATATTTTTAAAATAAAAAACATCATCATTGGTGATTGAAAAACTTGGCTTAATTGATATAAAGAACTTCATATGTATTGTTCATTAATTATTACTCTATTGATTAAAAAAAACCCCTTTCATATATGTAATTAATAACAAACTTTTAAAAAACTAAGACAAAATGGATTAAAATATTATATTTAAGAATAAAACAAATTTCTCAACTAACTCCTATATTTGGGATCAAATTGACTAATAAAATGAAATTTCGAGTTAATAACATCTTTAGTTTCTGAAATTTTATTTTATTTTAGTTTTGCTCTCTGAAATTTAACTAAAACTTTCTAAGCGGACCATAATGAAGTCAAATTTCAAGGACCAAAACTATTAATTTCTAATTTCAATAACCACAATCAAAATGAAATTAAATATTAAATTTTAAGTGTATTAATTCTAAAATTTACAAGAAACAACCTTTCCCTCTCTTTTTTTCAATATTTTATTGCATTTCATGTAAGTTTTTTCAAGTTTCTTCATAGTGATAGGATGACAAATCCCAAAAATCTAAGGTGCTAACATATAATTCCTTTGAATTTTGTTAAATCTTATGTTTGTAATTGTGTGAATCGATATTTATATATTTTTAATAATTAAAAAAATCTAATTATCATTAAATTAATATTTTTGGGATCTAAGTGTCATTTTTCTAATAATATCTAAACTTCATTTTTAAGAGGTATAAGATTTCAAAAATATTTAAACTTTTTCTGATTGACTACTGATTTTGCCTAGGCTTTGTATGGAATACTTTTCGTGCCGACTGTTTATATTTAATACTCCTTCGGTCCTTAATACAAACCCAATTATTAAGTTAGTTTTGGTTCTAAATATAAGACCCATTTCTCATATTTATCAATTTTCTCTAAATTACTTCTATGGATACTCCCTCAACCATAATTAAGTAGAAGAGGAAGATGAGGTATTAAGAAAGATGATTATAGTATTTTAAGAAAAATATATCACATTTCTTATAATTAACTAACTTAGCTAACTTTCTTAATCTAATCAAATTAGTTAAATAGATTTTATATTAAGGACCGGAGGAGTATATGATCTGGTTTGATGTTGATAACTTTGGCATTGGCACTTTCTAAAAGGGATGAGTTGCTCATCAGCGAAGCAACATCGGGTTAAGTATTAGATATGATTCCCTTTGTGAAAACTAATCTTGGCCATTCAGTTTTAATGAATTTGTGTGATTCATTTACCCAAAACGCAATCTCAACCATTGATAGCGCGTGCACATATGTACATATGATCTATTATGAATATTATGTATAATACATAGCTTACAATATAAGAGTTAGACTCAAGCTTTGACAAGTCCAAACAAATGAATTTGATAACAGCCACTTGCATTCTTTTAATTTCTGTTTTTTTAATTTCCCCTAATAATGACTCATAAGATCCCTTCTTATTTAAGTATTAAATCATCATCATTAATTTTTTTAAATTCTTTTTAATAATATTGAATCCAAAGGATATTTCAAATTGGGGAGCCAATTATCTTAAACAAGATATTCTTATTTTTTATTTTTTAGAAACAAAAAAACATTTTTACCCCTAAAAACTTTGTGACCCTGAAACTCTTTCTCCTCTCTTAGGAAACATTCCATAGGTCCAGCTCCTCTCTCTCTCACTCTTTGAAAATGATTCTGTTGCGTTGGGAGAGATCATTTGTCATCATCGTTGTTTCGATAAGGAGAGCCTTCGCCATCACTGCTATTCTAATATGGAGTGTATAACATCCAAAAAAATTTATTTTTAGATTTCAGTTTTATTAAAATGAGATTAATTAATAGTATTTAAATTTTATCTTGCTGTCTAAATTATAAATCATAATTTTTATGAAAAATATTAAAAAAATTAAAAAAAATTAAATTAAAATGTATTTAAAAAGTAAAATATTATATTAAAAAGGAGGGAGGCAAGGCAAGTGGGTGGCCACGTGCCGCCCACTGCCGTGCGGGAGACCCGGAGAGGGGGAGCAATCCCCCCGTGGTGCCTTATTTTTTATTTAGATGGTTGATTTAAAAAAATGCAAATTAGAATTTGATTGGAAAATTGTGATTTGTGATAATAGTGATATTAATTTCGAAATTGATATCTTAGTTTAGTTTATTGAAGGTTATATTGAAGATTCAATATTGAGCTTTGAGGGTTTTTGTTGAAATAAGAATGTTAATAATTTTTGGAGAAGTTTTAACTGGTGGAAATTGAGACTATTTGAAATAAATCTTTTAGGCCTACAGTGACATTTAAGAATTATGGTTTTTAATTGTAATTTTTTCTAAAAGTGAAGCATGAAGAGAGAGAGAAGGATGAAAAAAATGGCAGGAGGAAGAGACGAAAGAGAAGCGCAGAGAGAGAGAGAGAGTACGAAGAAAGGAGTGAAAGACCGAGGAACGAAGGAAAGAGAGGCATGGAGAGAGAGAGTGCGGTGGGGAAGTGAGTGGAGGAAAAATCTGTCCTGTGAAGCAATCATTATTGGCACAAAGGAACGAATGAAAGAGAGGCATGGAGAGATAGAGTGCGCGTGTGGAGAGAGCGAGTGCGGGTGGGGGGGGGGGAGTGGAGGAAACATTTTGTCCATGACTCCATGTGCCACGTGATTCTTTTTCAGTATATCTCAACGGCGTTTGGAGTGCATATTAACGGAAGGACTGAGATCTTAAAAATCCAGAGACCTAATTTAAAATCGGATGGATTCATGAGAACCCACAGATGAATTTTTCGTAAATAAAAAGAATAAGTTGTATTCATAACCGTCAAATAAGTCTTTAAATTTGATGGTTTTTTATTACAACCGTCAAAAAAACATTTGACAGTTGTTTTGATACCACTGTCAAATTTTTTTTTCCTAGACCAGAATGGGAAATCTAAATAAAACTTATTTATTATTTATCATATAATCACAACATGATCATATTTTTGTGAACTTATATGATGAATAAATAGCTGTCAAATTAAAGGCTTTTCAATAAAGATGATTCCTAATTGTGTCATCTATATGATAAAAGAACCATGATATTTTAGCATTTCTTGGAAAAATTTTTAAAAATAATTATTTCAATAATTCAATACTTTTGATTTGGTTCTTAATTCATTTGATGGTAGTAATTAAACATGTTTTTTTAACTTATATATAAATCTTAAGAAAATTTAAAAAATTGAAAACTCTTTAAATTAAAAATAATTCATCTTATCATTTTCTTTTCTTTTTTTTTTTTTGCCAAGGCATCTTATCATTTTCTATCCATTGGAAATTGGTTCTTCAATATTAAACAAATATTATTATTCAAAGATATGGACAAAAGGCCGTAACCTTCTTTGCTTTTTCTTGTTCCTTCTGCCTCCTTTTGGTCAATACAGGCCACCATTTTTCTAGGTCAATACAGGCCATCATTTAGCGTCTTTATAAGTCATTCCCACTCACCCCGTCCCCCCACCATTCACATCTACCAAGAGCGATGGATGCTCCTTCTCCGCAGCTCGCGAGTAATCCAAGAGTCACTTCGACTTCACTATCCTCCGTCGTCTTTGTCTTTATCTCTATCTGTCTTATCTTCTTTGGCTCTGCGAAATCTGATTCTTCTTCTTCTTCGTCGTCGTCTTCGTCGTCCACAAGGTTTTACGCAGAATCTGCACAACAAGAAGCAGCAAAAGGTGTTGGGTATGGCTATGGTGTTCGAAGTGTGAGCACTGATCTATCACGAAAATCTCTGAGCGCTTCGCTTGATCTTATCAAGCCTTCTTCTGTTTACGGACCTGATGTTCCTCATCTCTCCCTTACAGCCAGGTGCTGCTTTTTCTTGCTTCCCTCTTTTAATTTAATTTTCTTCGTCATAAGATGCTGCTGCTGGTGGTAGAAACTTTGAATTGACTGCTTCTTTCAAATAATTTTTTTTTAAAATTTTTTAATTGTCTTTGTGTTCAGTTTTCCTTTGAGATAATTAATAGTATTCAAATTTCGATAATTTCAGTATTTCACTTTTTTAATAAGTTTTTATATTCTTTTTCTAGTTTTTTTTTTCATTTCTATATAAAATATGATGTTGGTAATAGCTCCCACTCAGCATCATCTGAATTAATTTTGTCACATGAATTCAAATAAAATTAAGATTAATTATTATTTTTTTGCCATGCAACAAGATTAATTAGATTACAAATTATATCTAGATACAAGAAAACAGTTATGAGCATGATACCCTTTTTGTTGATAATAAATATATTTTATTTCATTATTTTACTTTTTTTAAAAAAATTATTTTAATTCCCTGGCAGTCTACATGTGGTTTAGTTAACATAGACATTATTTATAATTGAGAATCAATATAGACTAACGTTATAATTGAGAAAATAGGAAGAATTTAATAAAAAAAATTGTGGCAAAACAATTAAAGAAAGCCTGAAATACCTGAACCTTTTTAAATTTGGAGTCCGCTGCGCTTTGCTTCCTTGACCTTTAAAAATTTAAATTAAGAATCATGATATTTTATGTTTTGATTATCAATTCCCCAGTGGTTCAAATTGTCGTTTCTGACATGTCACAATTTTTATATATTTTTTATTATATATAATTTCATTTGAATAATAATACGTAGCATTTCACATGTAATTTTAAGAATTTTCTACTTTTTTTAATTAAAAATACATATTCAAATAAATATTTTAAATGTTTTTAAGTATTTCATTTTAAGTATAAAAATATATAACATTACATGTGGAATATCAATTTTTTTTAAATGAAATGGTGTATTATCAAAATAAGGATGAATATAATTTTTAGCCTCTGAAATTTTAGTTTTTTTTAGTTTTAATCTCTCAAATTTTAAGTCCGTAGTTTTGGTTCTTGGAATGTAATCTATCTTTAAACATTAGTTCTTGAAGGTGTAACAGTGTTAAAATCTGTTGAAGTGTCATCAATAATGTTAAAAGTTGTGATGTGGAATCACTATGTGGCATCTAATTGAATCTTATATAGATAATAAAATGCATCGCATGGAACAACTCTTGAAATGATCAATGAGGAAGAAAAAGACTGTGTTTTGAGAATCTGTTTTTTTTCCTCCTTCTAGTTAGATATCATTTAGTAATTTCATATCACCACTTTAACTCTGGTTATGACATTTTACTAGATTTTAATATTGTTACACTGGAGACCTAATTTCAGAGACCAAAAATTGCTATTAACCCTAAAAGTAATATAAATTTTTTTTACCATTCAACAAGAATCCACAATGAAAATTGTATAAGAAAAAGAATCCATAATGAAAAAACTATAAAAATTGAAACAGAATTATTTCTTTTGTTTTTGGGTTTTGTACATTTCAAGCATTAAAAAACAAACTAAAAAATTCCTCATGAAAAATTCTGGCTAAATCCACAATGAGAAGTCATAGTGAAATTTCTTTGTTTTTTCTCTTGGGGAAATGATCATAGAATTTCTTGTCAAGTATTGGCATGAGCTTTCTTGACATTTCTTGTCAGTATTTCATATAGATTTTATATTATATTACAGTTTTTATTATTTTATTTTTTCTTCTACAAAATAAAATGGTCAAAATACGAAAATAAAAATGAAGAGAATAGAAACAAGAAAAAAAAACTATTTGTGTTGCCAACAATTGTTTTTTTAAATGAAACATGCCACTTTTATTTAATTATTAGAGCGGCCCATAATCTGCATTTGCACTAGTCTAAACTAAATTCCGTTTCATAATTTATAGTTTACGAATAATATAACTATTTCATATATATATTGTGACAACCGTTCTTTTAAAACCCATTTAGATCAAAATTTTCAATCTATTCGAACGATTAACCATGATAGAAAAAAAGAAATCTTAAAATTTTAAAATTGCTATCATGGTTAAAAGAAATAAACTTATAATAAGAGTAACATCGATCGTTACCTTGGGCCTTGGACTTCCAAAGTCCAGAAATATCATTCAACCATTAGCCCAAACCAAACTTATATTTTTAAACATACGAACTGATAAATCAGTTTAATATAAACTATAGAGCTCATTAGTCAAAAGTCAACACTTTCGAAGCAGCGTTACATGCAGAGTCTAAGATGTCTCGGGCCTCCTCGCGGCCTTATCATACCAGATAGTAGTAATTAAAAGTATTATTTTACATCATGATAGTAGATGAGCCCTATGTGACAATATATAACAAGTCAGCACATAAAACAAAAGCAGGGAGGCTATACAAGCTATAACAGCACACTATGCCTCCGGAGCCTTCCCTGATGGGCCACCACCTGAACTATCGCCTGAAAATGTTAAACCATGGGGTGAGACAAATGCCTCAGTAACCAGCTTTCCAACTCATCATACATACTAACACGTGCTCGTGAGGTGTCAAGTGGGATAGTTATTAATTCTTGAGAAATATAGATATATCCATAGAAATATAATTTCAATCATCCAAACCCTCACTATGGGGGCCAACACACAAGCCACATAAGTCTATCCCTCACTCTGGGGGATCAATCAAACATATGGGCCTATCCCTCACTCTGGGGGACGAATAAGAAGCCACAAAGGCCTATCCCTCACTATGGGGGACGAAAGAAGAAGCCAACCAATGTGCACTAATGGCGGCCTTACCACGTGGTAGGATATGACTCAATCCAAAATCCAAATAACAACCAATCATTCACAATATAATAAAAATGTCTCAATCTTTTCTCAGTATAATCCATAAGATATAAACCATATATCTTTTCCAAACTTCTCAATCACAATTCCAAAAATCCCACAAGACAATTTTCATAGCTCAAAAGATATAATTTATCTACTCGAGTTTCAAATAACAAATCATTATACCAAAATAGCAAAATACTCACAAACAACATATTAGCACATATAACAAGTGGAAAGTGGTTACCTCTCGCCAAGGCAATACTAAGGATTACCACAAGGTCAATCATTTGCTCAACCAATAATTAATCTACACAATTAATATAACTACATATTAATATAAACTAATTAATTAAACTTCTCTATATTATTTAAATTTCTAATTTAATTAAATTTTTACTCTAAATTCCTGTAACTCTCATAACTCAACAATTATTAAGTATTTTAAAAACAACTTAAAATTTCTAACAACCCAAATTATTTATTTACCACCTCCAAATTATTTACTTTAATAAAAAGGATTTTCCATAATTTCCAAATATAAAATTATTATGTTATAAATTCTAAAAACTCTCTTTTTAAGTTTAAACCTCAAAATCAAACTCTCAAAAATTTAATAATAATACTTCAAATATTTATAACTAAATAATATGATCAAAACTTTAATGGTATAACTACCATATATATATTTCCTTAAATAATAAACTTTTTAGCTACAATAATTATTTTAAAACCTCCAGTCACCCAATAAATAAAAATAAACCGATTAAAATCTTAATAATATGTTAAACACCTCAAATAAATTATTCAACTTAATTTTAATCGGTAAAATATGATATAAATCATATATCACATATTTTTCAACTAGAAAAATCCATTTAAGCACTAAAAACCAACAAATAGACCAATCCAAACCGATTAAAATCTCAATAATATATCAAACAATCCAAATAAATTATTTAACTTAAATTTAATCAGTAAAAATATGGTATATCCCATAAATAACAGATTTTCAACTAAATAAATTAATTTAAATACTAAAACTAACAAATAGAGAAATCTAAACCGATTAAAATTAACAACTTATTTATTTCTAAATTTCTATAGTCATCTTTTATCAAAACTCAATACTTAGATCATATACAAGTCTCAAAATTTTCTCTAATCACTATAGTAATACTATTATTACGAAACATAAAATATATAAGAAATATTTATGAAGAAAGTTTGATAAAAAGAGATAATTTCATGTATATAAAATATCTTCAAAGCTTACCTTCTCTTTCAAAATGATCGCAGTTCTGCTTCTTTTCTCCCACACTCTTTCTCTCTTCTCCGCTCTTTCACGCCCCCAACATCTTCTATCTCTTTTATCTTTCATTTTTCCAACCACCATTGCATTCTTTTCCTTCCTTCATTAATTCCTTCTCCCCTAAATTCCTGTCCCTTAGTCAAATGGTGCAGCTTTTCACCGAATTTGGTGGAAAGCTGCTTCCTTTTTTTTTTTATTTATTAAAATATTATTATAATAATAAATTATTATTTTTTTTTATTGATTTTTTTTTAACTAAATCCTAAAATAAAGTTTAGGATATTACATATATATATATATTTATATCATCTTCATCACTTCATGAATAAGAATATTTTTTGAAATAAATTAAATATTCACAATTAATTATATGTTTTTTCATCTAATTTTTTCACATTCTCTCCCATTTCTTTTCCCACTGATCCTCTCTCACTTATCATCTAAGGATATTTTTGGAATAAATATGATCTCCTACACAATGATTAAATTACTTGATATTATAGTAATGTTTGATATATGAAGTTTAACATATTAGATTCTACTCTATACAAAAGCATAACGTTATTTTTTTAAATAAAAAAAATTAGTGCATAACTTGCAAATCGCAGAATTTAAAAACGACATGATATTCAGGTTAGCAAAGGAAAAATCACGAAAAAGACCTTAAAAATTGAAAAATACGTAGAGAGACCCATCTACAAAAATTGTTGTCATTTGCTTATTAATTCTTATAAAAACCAATACTAATATTTCCTTAAAAAAGGCACATGATATAAACATTTTGGAGAATTTCAATAAATATCCCTTCTAGATAATTAATATCAGTCAACTCCTAAAAATGTCTTAAATTTCTACGTATTCCTAAGGGTCAAAATTTTATGGGTTGAAGGACAAAAATGTCATGGCATTATTTTGGGGTTACAAATTATTTTATATTACTTGGAAATCACCGAATCTACGTTGCAAATTGCCTTGATTGTAAATCATCGAATTTAAGTTGTTTATTTATATCAAAACAATTGCATTTGAAGTCATGAAGTTGCTTATGTTCTTTATAAATCGTTGAATTTTGATTGTGGGTTGTCGAATATGAGTTGTTCATTTACATTTCACACCAAAATAGGGGTTGTGAATTCATTTATATTCCTTTTAAATCACCAAATTTGAGCTGTCAGTACTAATATTATAGTGAAATTTCAAATTTTTTAGGGTTGACTAATATTAATTATCTAGGTTTAAATGAATTTTTTCCTAAAATTTTCAATGCATGCCAAGCATCACTCTATTAATTGTCTCACACAATTGTCTACAGTTTTGAGAGCGCAGATTGCTTCCGAGTGAAAATCACTGACTCAACAAAACAAAGATGGGAAATCCCGCAAGAATTAATTCCTCGTCATTCCCGTTTTCCCCCTCGTTCCCACTCTCTCCAAAATCATTCTTCTCACCCCTCTCAACATCAACAGCAGTCTCATTCACAACAGTACTCTTTGATTGATTCCTATTCAGACATCGTCTTCACCCTCCACAACACCACCCCTTTTGGGTTCACGCTTGCTCGCAAATCCTCAAACGACATCATCTTTAATGCTTCTCCAAGCCCTGAAAACCCTTCAACATTTATTATCTTCAAAGACCAGTACCTTCAACTCTCTTCCTCGCTGCCAAAAAATAGAGCTTATTTGTACGGTCTTGGAGAGCACACCAAGAGCTCGTTCAAAATCCAACATAATCAGACCCTCACATTGTGGAATGCTGACATTGGCAGTGCTAATCTTGATCAAAACCTTTATGGGTCTCACCCATTTTACATGGATGTTCGTTCTCCTTCAGCTGATGGGAGAGTTAAGGCAGGGACAACTCATGGGGTTTTGCTATTCAATAGCAATGGCATGGACATAGTCTATGATGGTGATCGTATTACTTACAAAGTTATTGGAGGTATTCTTGATCTTTACGTTTTTGCCGGACCTACGCCGGAGTTGGTAATGGAGCAATACACAGAACTAATAGGTCACCCTGCTCCAATGCCATATTGGTCATTTGGTAATTTTCTATTCCATATCTATCCTTGTTGCTTGATTACATGTTCATTTGGTTATTTATGTTGTGAGGACAAATACTTCAAAAGCTGTGTTCTTGTCTATCTAGTATTAAAGATTATAGAATGATCATACTATATAAATTGTTTATTTTGCAGTGTTGTCTCCATGTTAATCATTGTATATCTTAGGTTCTCATGTAGTTGTGATAATTCATTCTGGTCGAAGAAGTAATTATAATAATGAACATCATTATTCATTAGAATAATCTTAAATTTTAGGTGACTTTTATGATTTTATGCTCGATGTGCATTGGGGTAGGTTTAGATGATGTCCTCTTGTCATCTCTAACTTAATGTTATGTATGTTTAGTGTGCTAATAATAGCAAGCAAATAGGGGAGAATTTATAAGCACTTGCACGTATTGATAATGTGAAGTTCACATCATATTCATGATGGTAGTAGATTACTGTCACCTTATAAACCTTTGAACAAACATGTTTGCGAAGGTGCAAGTATGCCAGACTTTCTGTTAGGTAGAAAACTTGTCTGAGATGGACAATGTAGTAGTTGGATGAATAGAAACTATCCCACAACTACTATATTTGTTCTTTTGTTTCTTGCATGCTCTTTCCATTAGGTGAGTGTGTTTGTCTATAGTTGGTATGAGTTTGATGATATTTATACCTAGAGGTTCTCCTGTTTAATTATTAGAGAATATTATATCAAGATTCTTTACTTTATCCTCTAATAGTTAGCTTTAACCTAATTATACTGATGGAACTAGTGATTTTATTGCCCGAATAGTTTCAATAGTCAACTACACCCCTTTGATAGGGAAAATCAAAGGGAAAAATGGAAAATGGTAGCCGACTAACCCTAGTTCCCGTTGGTTCAAAAGAAAAAGAAGACCACAATCAAAATCCCTCCTTAACCTTCGAGAGGTCAGGTCTCTCCCCCAGTCACTAAGATCCTTCCTACCCTTTTTCTCAGCACAGCACCCCAGATAACCGTCTCCCCACTACCCTGATCCTTCGTGGGCCCCTTCTCGTGTCCGCCCTCCTTCTCCTGGTGGTCCCCCTTCCTTACTTGGCACTCGGCTTGCAGGATTGGGTTTGTTCCTGGGCTGTCTCCTCCCGTATACCTGGCCCATTAAGGGGCCGGGTCCATCATTACCTTCCCCTAAAAGTCTCACCTTGTCCTCAAGGTGGAATTCTGGAAACTGTGCATTAATGAGGGCGCTATCTTCCCATGTGCTGTCGCATCCCGGTAGTGATTGCCACTTGATTAGGACCTAGGTACTGCCATCTGTCATTTTTCGTGCCTTGACGACTTGCTCAGGTTGAACCTGTAGCTCATAGTCTTTGGTCAAGAAACTGGGTAGGGTTTGTGCAGTCACCGTAGATGAGAGTGACCTCTTTAGCTAGGAAACGTGAAAGGTGGGGTGAACCCGAGCATCCGCAGGTAATTTCAGCTTATACGCAACCTTCCCGATTCTCCGTAAGACTTCATAAGGCCCATAGAATCTCGGTGCTAGTTTCTCATTTTGCCTCTTGGCCAATTTCTTGAGCTTATAAGGTTGTATCCTCAGGTAGACTTTGTCACCAACCTGGAACTCAACATCTCTTTTCTTGTCAGCTTGTTCCTTCATTCTAGCCTGCGTCTGTTCAAGATGGTACTTGAGTCTTTGTAGGGCTTTGTTTCTCTCCGGTAGCTGGGTGTTAACTTCTTCCACCAGTGAATCGTCATCCTTCCACTTGAAAATGGAGGGGGGATCTCTTCCATATAAAGCCTTAAAAGGTGTGGCCCCCAAAGATCTGTTATAGGTCGTATTGAACCAAAATTCAGCCCATGGCAGCATCTGAACCCACTTCTTAGGACTTTCTCCGGCGAAGCATCGTAAATAAGTCTCAAGGCCCCGGTTCACCACCTCAGTTTGGCCGTCGGTTTGGGGGTGGTAGCCAAAGCTATACTTGAGAGTAGTCCCTGACTGAGTGAATAATTCCTTCCAGAACTGGCTTATGAAGACTCGGTCTCTGTCAGAGACTATTGATTTTGGGAACCCATGCAGTTTCACTATTTCTGCAACAAATCTCTCAGCTACATCCTTGGCGGTGAAGGGGTGTGAGAGAGGAATAAAGTGAGCATATTTGGTGAGTCTATCCACTACCACCATGATGGTATCATATCGGCGAGTCCTAGGCATGCCTATGATAAAATCCACGCTTATATCTTCCCAAACTTGTTGCAGAACTGGTAATGGCTGCAATAGGCCCGCTGGACTTATGGCTGCATATTTATTTCGCTGGCAGGTTTCACATTTGGCCACATAATCTTGTATATCCTTCTTCATACCTTCCCAGAACACCACGTCTGCCATTCTCTTATAAGTCCTCAAGTACCCCGAGTGCCCTCCGATCGGAGAGTTATGAAACTCCTTAATTAATCCATCAGTCTTGGGAGAACTCCTGGGTAGCACCAATCGACCGTTGTACATGAGGCAGCCATTCTTGAGAAAGTATCCCGTAGGTACGTTGGTTCCCAATAATACCTTTTGCCTGAGCTCATTCAGTTTTGGGTCCTTAGTCACCTCAGATTCGAAGTCTTCTACTCCAGTGTATTGCCATAGGGAAAATGAATTAAGGGACAGGTTCGGTACTTCTTTTCGAGATAAAGCATCAGCTGCCCGGTTTTCTTTTCCCGATTTATACTGGATCTCGAATCTGTATCCCATCAACTTAGAAATCCACTTCTTCTGGTCGGGGTCCATTACACGCTGCTCTAGTAAATACCTCAGGGCCTTTTGGTCAGTCTTGATAATGAAGGGTTGAACTGTCAAGTAGTGCTGCCACTTTTTGATGGTGAGAACAATGGCCATTAATTCCTTCTCATAGACTGCTCCTTGCTGAGCTTTTTTGGACAGTTATTGGCTAAAATAGGCAATAGGGCGTCCTTGTTGCATGAGCACAGCACCGACTCCCACTCCACACGCGTCAGCTTCTATTTCAAATAGTATTTTAAAATCGGGCATGGTCAACACTGGTGCATTAGTCATGGCTGATTTGAGTTTCTGAAAAGCTGTTTGAGCCTGGTCTCCCCATTTGAAAGCGTTCTTCTTAAGTAAGGCCATCAAGGGAGCTGCTATCTTTCCGTAGTCCTTTATGAATTTCCGGTAGTATCCAGTGAGACTGAGAAACCCTCTCAAACTCTTTATGTCTTTAGGCGTTGGCCAGGAAACCATGGCTTCTATTTTAGCAGGGTCAGCCTTCACTCCCCCGGCCGTGATGATGTGCCCTAAGTATTCTAACTGTTGTTGGCCGAAGCTACATTTTTTTACATTAATAACGAGTTGGTGTTGCTGGAGAATTCTGAGTGCAGTCTCTAAGTGCTCCGTATGTAATTCCATATCCCTGCTATACACGAGTATGTCATCAAAGAACACCAGAATGAATTTCCTCAAATAATCACGAAAAATGTCATTCATCAAAGACTGAAAGGTAGAAGGTGCATTTGTGAGCCCAAAGGGCATAACCAGGAATTCATAGTGCCCACTGTGCGTCCTGAAGGCGGTTTTGTGCTCGTCCCCGGTCCTGATTCGGATCTGATGGTATCCTGCCTTGAGATCCAGCTTGGAGAAAATTGTAGCACCTCCCAGTTCATCCAATAGCTCATCAACTACTGGGATAGGGTATTTATCAGGTTTTGTAACTCGGTTCAAGGCCCTATAGTCCACGCAGAATCTCCAGCTGCCGTCTTTTTTCCTGACTAGTAATACCGGGCTTGAGAAAGGGCTGCTGCTTGGTCGAATGATGCCAGCTTCTATCATTTCCTTCACCATCTTCTCAATCTCTGCCTTATGAGTGTATGGGTACCGATAGGGTCTTACATTTGGTACCTGCGCCCCCTCTTTGAGCATGATGGCGTGATCTTGGGTTCGGTGTGGTGGTAGTTTAGTCACAGCTTGGCACACCTCACTATACTTATCCAGGAGCTGTTGAATTTTTGGAGTTTGGGTCCCATCTTCGGGCTCCCTTTTCAGATGCAAGCCCATCACGTTGATTTCCAGCCAATACCCTTCAAACTTCCCTTTCAGTGCCCTTCGGCAAGCCTTGTAAGACGCTTGCATGTGTGTTAACGTGGGGTCTCCTCGCAAACATACCCATTCGCTCCCTGATTTAACCTTCATGTAGAGTTGTCCCCAATTTAATCGCACCTCTCCAAGGGACTCGAGCCAAGCTACACCGAGCACCAGATCAATATTAGCCAGGGGAAACGGATAGAATGTTTGCATAACGTTCAATCCCTGCAGCTCCAGCTTCAACCTTTGGCATTTTCCATTCTCATATACACGTCTCCCATCCCCCACAGCTACAGAGTAAGTCGGAGTGGGTGTCACCTCCAACCCCAATTCTGTCACCATGTGTCGGGCAATAAAATTGTGGGTGGCCCCACTATCAATCAGGACAACTACAGGCCTCTCGTTGACAGTTCCCTTCATCTTCAAGGTCTTGTAACTCGAAATGCCCAACACTGTCGCTTGGGAGAGTTCCATGGTGGAATACTCCTTCTCAGTCTCATTCTTTTCTAGTTCCTCAAAATCGCACTCTCGAATCTCTCCTCCTTCCTCCTCGTCAACAACCATCACTTGGAGTTGCTTGGATTTGCACTTGTGAGTGGGACCCCATTTTTCTTCACACTTAAAACACAGTCCCTTCTCTCTTCGACGGTTTATCTCTGCCTCAGAGAGTCTTCTATTCCCCCTGTGGTTGCTGCTTTCGGCACTGGGTACTGCGCTAGGTGTCGCAGCTTGGTTACTAGCAACCTTAGAGTTGTCAAGTCCATGATTGTTGGTGACTCGCGTCCCTGATGACGGAGCAGGGCTCTTGGGATTTTCTGAGAAAGCCGAGAATTTGGGTGGAAGTGCAAGTGGGGGTGCCCAAGTCCTCGGGTTTTCCTTCCGGTACAGCTTGGACTCCTTTTTCTGCTTGGCCTTCTCCAACGTCGAGTTTCGACCTTCAATCTCCGTTGCTGTGTCCATTAGGTCCTCTAGTCGATTGGGCTTTAACACCCGCACATCAGCCTTCACCTCTTCTTTAAGCCCATTCATGAACATGCCCTTTTTTTTTTTTTTGGTAGAAGAACATGCCCATTAGTGAAGCTTCGGACACATCATCAAGGGTTGCCGAAATCATCTCAAACGTCTCCCTATATTCAGCTACCGTCCTCGTCTGCTTCAGGGTGGCGAGTCTCTCGTGGTTGTTCCCAGTGTGCAACTGGTGGAAACGTTTAACCACACTCCGCTTGAACTCCCTCCAACTCGCTATCAGCGCTCGCATCTCTGTCCACTGGAACTAGTTCAATGCTTTTCCCTCCAGTCCCACCACGACAGCATCAAGTTTTTCGGTCTCTGGAACTCTATTGACGACGAAGTAGCTCTCCATCCGAAAGGTCCAGCTTATAGGATCCTCCCCATCGAATAGTGGCATTTCTATACGGTGGTACTTTTGTACTTCCTTCTCTCCTAACACCTCCGTCTCTCTGTTCATATGAGTCCTCCCTACTTCCATCTCTGGGATTCGTTCACCCCTGTTACGGTCATCTCCCCCTCGATCCTCTCCCGTGTGTTCCATCTCTCCTTCTGGTGTCCTTACTTCTCGGCGACCCTCATGAGGGGTCTCGGGTAATCTCTGGTTCAGTATACGAAGAATGTTTGCATTCTGCTCCTGTAGCTGAACAATGGTCCTTTGCATCAAGGATCGTTCCTCCCTCGCTTCCATATTGGACCTCTGCAACTCACCTACTACCCGTCCCACTCCCTGCAGCTCGTTCACTGTCTTTTCCACATTTTCTAGTCTTGCTTCCATCCTTCTGGTACTCACCATTCACAGGGTCGACCCGCTCTGATACCAAAGATGATGGAACTAGTGATTTTATTGCCCGAATAGTTTCAATAGTCAACTACACCCCTTTGATAGGGAAAATCAAAGGGAAAAATGGAAAATGGTAGCCGACTAACCCTAGTTCCCGTTGGTTCAAAAGATAAAGAAGACCACAATCAGAATCCCTCCTTAACCTTTGAGAGGTCAGGTCTCTCCCCCAGTCACTAAGATCCTTCCTACCCTTTTTCTCAGCACAGCACCCCAGATAACCATCTCCCCACTACCCTGATCCTTCGTGGGCCCCTTCTCGTGTCCGCCCTCCTTCTCCTGGTGGTCCCCCTTCCTTACTTGACACCCGGCTTGCAGGATTGGGTTTGTTCCTGGGCTGTCTCCTCCCGTATACCTGGCCCATTAGGGGGCCGGGTCCATCATATACCCTCACTGAAAACCTATCAGTTAACTTTATTAGTATGTTCAGATGTAACTAGTAGGGGTACCATGGCATAGAAACATGAGTTTGGACTGTAACTGACATTATCGTTATTGAATGATAGAGACTACATAGTATGGGATACAAAGTCTCACATCAATTAGAATGAGATTCTGAATGAGATATTTAAGTGGGTTGGTTATCTCATATCAACAACTAGCTTTTGGATTAGGATTATCCTACTTAAGTATCATTGAAATATGTGTGTATGTATTGCTTTATTTTTTATATTACAACATGTTAAAAATATTAAATCTACTATGACATGACCAAGGAAGGTTGTTACTTCAATAAGAATGCATAATGTATTTTTCTTTATGTAGAAAGGATTTAGTAATAAAGATCTTATGAATTGAAATATTTCATCTATTTTGGTTAAGCTTGTGTCTAGTTTCTGTGCTAACCTAAAAGTTATGTTGTTATTGTTGGAGGGTTTCATCAATGTAGATGGGGCTACAAGAATGTAAGTGACGTTGAGAATGTTGTTGCTAATTATGCAAAAGCAAGCATACCTCTCGAAGTAATATGGACAGATATTGATTACATGGATGCATACAAGGATTTCACACTTGATCCCATTAACTTTCCACTGAATAAGATGAAAAAGTTTGTTGATACTCTTCACCAAAATGGTCAGAAATATGTGTTGATCTTGGATCCAGGTACCTTCTTTTGAACACACACACATATTCGTCAAGCAAAAATTACTCTACTTTTGATTGTAGATGTCATTTGTATTATTAATGCAAGGAAAAATATTCTAACAGGTATCAATGTAGATAAGACATATGAAACCTTTATGAGAGGTTTGCAGGACGATGTCTACATAAAGCGTGGTGGAGTAAATTATTTGGGTGAGGTTTGGCCTGGACCAGTCTATTTTCCGGATTTTTTAAACCCAGCTGGCCAAGTCTTTTGGGCTAAGGAAATCAATTCATTTTGGAGTCTCCTTCCTTTTGATGGTATTTGGCTTGACATGAATGAGTTATCCAATTTTAAAACTTCACCTCCCATTCCATCTTCTAACTTGGATAACCCTCCTTACAAGATTAATAATGCTGGAAGTCTACAGCCTATAAATAGTAAAACAATCCCAGCAACTTGTTTGCATTATGGTAACATCACTGACTATGATGCACACAACTTGTATGGGTTATTAGAGTCCAAAGTAACTAACAAGGTCCTAATAAATCTAACTAGGAAAAGGCCATTTATTCTCAGTAGATCAACTTTTATAAGTTCAGGAAAGTATACAGCCCACTGGACAGGAGATAATGCTGCCACATGGAATGATTTGGCATACTCAATACCATCCATCTTAAATTTTGGAATATTTGGAATTCCAATGGTAGGAGCAGATATATGTGGCTTCTCAGGAGATACAACTGAAGAACTTTGTCAACGTTGGATACAGGTAAATGTTATAGGCCTAATCTCTTTGATGTTTTGGCATTTTGGTGTTGTTTAATAGTTAATGATATGCAAAGGTGGATGAATGGGGGATAAACTAGGCCAAGGCCTTTATTCCTATTTGGGAAAACATTAATATATGTATAAAGTTTTTATAAGATCTACGATCCCTAAAAAAATGGCATATAACTACCAATAAAATTACATGACTCTTCAATATTTTTATTTATATCATTTTCTTTTATTGTTCTTTTACTATGGTGTTTACTTTTTCTTTTTTAAGATAGTTTTTCCTTTTCTTACTTATAATATTCATACATTTTTTAAGTAAAGTTAATTGATGAGATAGGCCGTATGAGTTGAGACATAAAAGAATATCTCTTCATGTCATAAGTAGCAATGATATTCAAATTCTTAAAGCTATGTGGGCTAAAGTTATTTTATCAGAATTTCAATATGATATATTATCTTTTTCTTATCATATAGGTGCTAGTTTAATTTCTTTCATACGATAGGTGTGTATTTTAAATTGTTATAATTTTTTGGTAACATAAATTATTGTAATTTTTTATTTAGTTTTATACGCCCTATAGCATTCTTCCCTGTAACATTATTCCCAACCCCCAGGCAACTCCACTATTGTTGATCAACCCCCAGGCAACTCCACTATTGTTGATCATAAAATTATGTTTTTTGTTATGGCATATGCAAATAAGTTGTCTTTTCTCATTGAAAGTTTATTTGGTTTTTGTTTTATGAAAAGAATGTAATCACATTTGTTAACCGTAAATGCATATACGTATTAAGTCACTTAATAGTTATAAATGATTGTCTCTTGTTACATTGAACTAATGTGTCATGTGTTTAACGTATTTGTATTTATGAAAAGTAAAGCTATTGTCTCATAAAAAATCAAAAGAATGGCTTCAACTTTTGTTTGTATGACCTAATGTCCTCTTTGTATTGCATCTTACAAATTACTTATCAATAAAATTTCTCATTTATTTCGTATTACAGTTAGGGGCATTTTATCCCTTTGCAAGGGATCATTCAGAGAAAAGCTCAAGCCGTCAAGAGCTGTATCTTTGGGATTCAGTTGCTGCATCAGCTAGAAAAGTACTTGGTCTTCGTTATCGCCTCCTACCTTACTTCTACACATTAATGTATGAAGCACATGTAAAAGGGACACCCATTGCACGACCTCTTTTCTTTTCATTCCCTAAGGATATCACAACTTATGAAATCGACTCTCAGTTTTTACTTGGTAAAGGGGTGATGGTGTCACCTGTTTTGAAGCCAGGAGCAACCTCTATTGAGGCTTATTTCCCTACAGGAAGCTGGTTTGACCTCTTCAATATCTCAAACTCAGTTATTGCAAACACAGGAAAGAATATGAGGCTTGATGCACCACCTGATCACATAAACGTTCACGTTCATGAAGGCAATATCTTGGCTTTGCATGGTGAAGCAATGACAACAAAAGCTGCACGTAAGACACCATTTGAACTTCTAGTTGTTATTAGTAACAGCACAAATAGTTCTGGACAGGTGTATTTGGATGATGGGGAGGACCTTGACATGGGGGAAGAGAAAGGGGAATGGACACTAATAAGATTTTATGGTGCACTGAACAACAATAGCGTTTTTGTTGCATCAGAGGTCACGAATGGGAGGTTTGCTCTTGACCAAAAGTGGTTCATAAATAAGGTAACCTTTTTGGGGATTCCTAATAGAAATAGATTGAACAATAGCTGGGAAGTGAAAGAACGGAGTATCATGGAGCGATTAAACACAGATGAAAAGACAGTTATAAAAAGATATTTTGATAGTTCCAAACACTTTGTTATTGTTGAAATTTCAGAATTGTCTCTGCTTATCGGAAAAGAATTCAAGTTAGAAATCAAGGTTTAATAAAACTTGTTACTCATGACATATTGGTCTGTATTTTCTAATGATTGAATAACAATTATGTTATGCCTAATTCAATACTTTTGACTTGGCTCTTAATTGTGATGTGGGCTAAATTTTGAATTACTAGTTGATGGGTAAGTTGGGAATGATGTTATCTCATAAGACTAGATAATTTGTTTGAAATATTTTTGTTTCCTATTACTTGGCATTAAGTTGTGAATTTAATCAATTTACCATACATCCAAATATGTTTAATCTTGGTTTCTAAGATCATTCTTTTCTTTTCTTTTGGATGTCATATTTATGTCTATCCTCTTAGTTCTAGATATGAATTCTGTTAGTAGCAGCTTCACCTAAGAGAAAGATGAATTGAGTGATTAAAAAACAATTAACCTTTGAAAAATAATTCAAATGAATTAAAAGGTGAAGGTTAGAAGGATATCATTGAATGATAAGAGAAATGCCAAGTAGAGCATAGCTAGGTTATATTGGTTCGGTCCACTGCTTGACAGTTCTTAGAGCTCCTTTGAGTTTCTGCTATTAACTCCAAGATTTCAATGGGCTCTTGATGTCTCAATAAAATAATTAAATTCTATCAATCACTCATCCTTACTACCTATAAGATTATATCCTATTTAAGATTGCCACAATCTTTAATATCTCAATAAGTAACAAAAGTTTTTATAAACCTCTCTCAAAGAGTAATAAATGATGATTGAACCTCTAAGATGAACTAATAGAAAGATAGAGTATTGAATACGAAATGAATGCAACAATGTGGTAACTCAGGTTCATTCAATCATTCATTGAATGCTTATTCTATTTATAGTTGATCTCTAAAAGTTGTTCCTTAGACGCAAAGCTTTGTATCTATTGGAGATGAATCAATGTAGGTTAGTAGCTATTGAGTTGCATTTAATGCTTCTGACAGAAGTTGATAACCAATATTACTTTTCCATTAAGTGTTTAATCCTGTGATAAGCTTATTTGAACCAAGTTGTTAGTGCCTTATAAACTCATAATCATTGAAGATAAATAATAGCTTGGGTTATATCTTAAAATTTTAGAAAGTGAACATGAGATCAAAAATTGTTAAACAGAAACTGAAAAGCTTACTCGAGTAGTTGCTTGAGAAGCAAATAGAAAGATTCAGCATTACTCAAAAGTTTTCTTGAGTGTATGCTTACTTGTGTATGTTTTCAAAAGGAGACTGAAGAAAGCTTAAAGAAAAAAAAATACTAACCATTCCATAGAGTGCTTATCGCTTCAAAAGGTACTTGAGAAAGTACAAGATATATGAATTATTTTTTGAGAAAGTATTCGGGTTATTTCTGAAAGATAAAAAAATAAATTGATTTGGATCAATAAGGTGCTTGAGTAAACAATTACTCAAGAATATTTTCAAGCACACTTAGTTCAAAGGTTTTTTAAATATTCAGAAGACTTCTTTTACTTGAGAATATCTATGAGAATATTTGTTTTTCATATAAAGATATTACTCAAGAAGATGATAAAAAATATTGACCAAAAAAAGATCTCTTTCAAGCAAAAAGGGCCTTTACTCAAGAAGTTTTTGGAGAAAGATTGGAAAAATATTCCTTACTCAAGAAAACAAGCCAGTAGAGAAATAAGTAAATTTGAAACTAAAAGACCTTTACTTGAGTATATTTTCGAGTAGAGAAGCACTTGAGAAGTTTGTCAAGTAAAATTAGGGAAAAAATTTTTTTTGATTAAGACAAGATTTTTCTTTTAAAACCAAAATGCTTGGGGAAATTATCGAGAAACCTATTACTCAGAAAGTTTATCAGGTAAGCACTTTGTGAAACATTTCTGACAAAAACTCAATAACTTACTTGAAAAATCTAATTGCAAACAAGAGATGCAAACTCGAGTACTTGCTCAAGTAATGGAAGAGGAAAAGCTTTTAAAACCGGAACACTTTGTCATCATCAACAAATTCCATGCAACTAGCAAATTAATTTGTTCACAGAATCAGCAACTAAAGTGAAGTCCAACAATGAATTTGTTCAGCATTTTGAAGTTTTCTTAGATGGACTCGTATGAGTTAATGGAGTGTTAATTACTTCCTTGGCTTGTGGAATTTCTAAGATTCGATTTTGTTGCAAGGGTCATAGGGTTTTGTGATTGGAGAATGCAAATTTTCATTTGATTGTGACTCTCGTCGTTTGTGATTGTCAAGTTGATGCACTCGAGCAAGATTAGGTGTGGTAGATTTTTTTTTTCCCCCAGAGTATCCCTCACTCGAACAGTGAGAAACTAATTTCTCGGGGTACTGTCAGGTACTGTAACGGGGACCCCTTCTAATAGTGTTTGTTTTATACACACCGCTTTAAGAATTGAACCCAAGACATAATATTTAAGGTACTCAAGTCTCTTCTACTTAGACCAACACTTGTTGGTAGGTGAGGTAGATTTGTTCACATTGGTATCCGTCTTACATAATGTGCCTACCTAATTTAGCAGCCTGCGTAGACTGCCAGTGTTGCAGATGATTGTGTGGTAAGACGTTGGACCGATCATGGTATGAATAGCCAATCTGGTTTGCTGGGCCAAACCAATGAACCTGTTTCTTCGTCGGTTCGGTTAAGAGCTTAAGACCGATAAATCACGTCAGATTTTATATATTATTTTTCATTATTGAGTTTAAAACAACACTGTGTTGGATTTAAAAAAATAGTAATCTATTATATTTGTGCTTTATTAACTTTTTTATTGGACCATGTGTGGTTTACATGTGAGTTACTTATGAATTAATATCTTTTTATTTAAATATTACTCTTTTAATTGTTTTAATAGTTACATGCGAATATTTTTGTATATTATAATTAAATTATATTATTTTAAATATCCAGTTTGATTCCGAGATTAACCCTCATTTAAACTATTGTCTCAACTGATTTATAGACTAGTCTAACTTTAGTACCTTGCCTTTGATTAAATAAAGCTAATAAAAAATATTTATGTACAAATTTGGACTTACCTTAATTAAAATCTAGGGCTTAAACATTTTGATATGAGGATCAAAATCAAGATAGTTCAGCTAGAAACCTGTTATTTGGTTTGAATTATTTATTATTTTTAATTAATGTGTTTCTGAAAACAATTAAATTGTAGAGTAACTTATCATTTTAATTTGAAAAATAATTTCATTTTACTTGCTTTAGTTCTACAACTCTTTGTTTTTTTTTTTTTAATTTTTAACTCATCACAACCCAAAGGTAATCAAAGTCGCTTGTGAATAAATCCAGGTTAGTTTTGACAGGAAAAAAAATGTTAGCGAGGCAAAAGTCCTTTAACTAAAAGTTATGCAGACATTTGTTAAAAAAAAAAAAAGCTTTCCAGACATGCCAAGAGAAAAAACTGCTTCAACCAATTTTTAATACATAAAATAAACATAAAGTAATTCTTTTTGGAATATTTAAAAGGGTTAAGGTGCGCCCAGCACCCCGAACTATTTACCTAGGTGCGTCCAGTGGCCTAAAGTAATTTTGGGTGCATTCAGTGTCCTAAACTAATTAAAATGGTGCGTCTATATCCCAAGCTAACAGAAATGTTATGTTTAACTGTTACTTTCCTGACTCAGCTTAAAGTTGACCTCATATATTCTACATGGTAGACACATGGGTACCCGATGTGTATTATTCTTACTCAAAAGTCAATTTATTTAGAAGAAGAGGAAGGAAATAAATTCAATTTTGAGTAAAAATAATACATATCAAATGTCTATATGTCTACCATTTAAAATATCTGGGGTCAACTTTAAGCTGAGTCAGGAAAGTAACAGTTAAACATAACATTTTTGTTAGCTTGGGATATAGACGCACCATTTTAATTAGTTTAAGACACTGGATGCACCCAAAATTACTTTAGGCCACTGGACGCATCTGAGTAAATAGTTCAAGGTGCTAGGCGCACCTTATCCCTATTTAAAATGACAAAAAGGATCATAATTGAAACCTAGGAAGATAATATACTCTCACATGATCTCATATCAATATGATAAAACAGAAATAAGAATTTGAATATTATACTTCCGATCCTTAATATAAGAGCTAGTTGACTAATTTGAGTAGATTAAGAAAGCTTGTTAAGTTAGTTATTTGTGATAAATAATTGTTTTCTTTCATATAATAAGCCTTACTAATCATGTATATTAGCTAGAACTACCATTTGATGGAATTTTTAACATATGGAATTACTACAAAGACTACTTCGAAAAGTATGAATAAATATGAAAAACAAAGTGGATTAAAATTTTATATTTAGAATCAAATTAAAAGTCAAAGTAGCTCTTACATTAAGAACTGGAAGTAATATATATATATATATATATATTCACAAGTATTTAATCAAGCTCTAACTATCACAAGTTTTAACTAGATATGTTAGTGGCAGTTTCACCAAGAGGGGGATGAATTGGATTATATATAAAAATTTGACTTTTTGAAATAAACAAATGAAAAACACAAAGGAGGCAAGTTTAGAAGGATTTCACCGAGGATGAACAGAAGCACAACACACAGGAGTTTACACTGGTTCGGTTTCAACTATTTGACCTACGTCTAATCCTCAGAGTGCCTCTGAGTTTTCCACTAAACCCCAAGATTTAATGGGCTCTTGGTGTCTTAGTACAACAACTGAGTTCACTCTCAATCACTCCTCCTTACTACCCGTAAGGTTACAATCTCTTCAAGAGTCCACACTCTTAAGTCACTCACAAATTTGAGTAAAAAGAATTACGAACTCTCTCACAGAGTATTTATGATAAGCACTAAAGCTCAGTAAGTAAAAATAGAGTAATGAATACAGAGATTAATTTCGATAGTTGGTAGCTCAGTTCCTTCACTGCTTTATTCAATGCTCTTCATGCCATTTATAATTAGAGTCTTTCAAGTTTCAGCTAGACACAAGAGCTTATAACCATTGGGATATCGCTTGCGTGTGTTTAGTTACAACAGTTGTTCGTAATAAATGTTTCTAACATATAGCTTGAGCCTATAAAATGTATTCGTTGAGCATCGTAACCTATGCAAATGTCTTGGCAAAAATATGAGTTTTCTTCTCGAGTAAATATG